GCTTCGGTTCCAACTGGGTTTGTGGGCTAGGTTGCTAGAATCCTTTCTAGTAGGATCCATCATCGACGCCTCCATAGTCCAGCCACGAAACACATCCTCAGTTCCTGGAAAGGCCTCCATCATTCTCACCGTGTCTGTTCTCAAGAAGTCTGTAGCAGGCAAATCATCAGCTGCTTAGACATGTTCATCTTCATCAGGAAGGGTTTGGGGGCAGGTTAAACACTTTGTGCTTGGAAATCTCCAGCGAGCAGCTATTTGTGTCCTTAATCTTATCGTCTTAAAGGTGGTGTTTTCTCTCTGTTATCTTGTCTGATGGATCCCTTGGAACTCTCTGGGGCGGGGAGGGGAGACCAGCAGGAGGCTGCAATTAGCAAAATGCAGAAGTCTTCGGTATTTTCATATTCTGCTGAGTCGGAGCGGCCGTGTCCAAATTGAGGCCGTTTTGAGATTCCAAGTTGGCGCTGCGGGGCTGGGACTTTTGGTTCATGGAATGGCAGAAATGAAAGCATCAACCGCTCCGGTGCTCATGGAGACGATCAAAGGCCGGGACCGAGATGTTTCGACCCAAAGCGAAGTTTCGTGTCGCGCTTTTCGTACGGGATGATGGCTCTCCCTTAGGAACTTTTATACATTGCTGTGTGTCTGCTAAGGATTCCCCTTGCACACTTGCCGCAGAATCCCTGTTGTTGCATAGGATTCTAGGACGCACTCTAGTATACGCTCTCCGATCATGGCAAATGCAGGTCAAGGTTGTCGGGCTCTGTTGCAACCTTGAATGAACTGAAAGCACACCATGGAATGTGCCGACAGTGGCCAAGTTCCTGTCCAGGCACTGAGTCTGCATTTGGTCCATACCCGGGGTGGAGACTCACACCCCGTTCCGTGTCATTCAGCAACTCTTCATCACCCATCAGGTGCAAAATACCGATGGAGAGATGTCATTGTAACATAATGAATGCTTGTAATTTTCACAAGAGCGCTTTGTTAAGCTGTTTAAACAGACTGTGTCACTATTTCTTTCCTTCCCCATTTCACCGGTCTTCTCCTTGTCATCGTATTCTGTTGTTCTGTGACTATGTGCCCTTTAATATGGAATCGGAATCAACATAAATCATTCTTGGGAATACCTGTGTATAGAAAACAAGACGGCGGGTTTGAGCCTACCTGACGTGCTGGTTTTCTATGTGGAAGGATTTCTTTCCCCGGGAAGATTCAGTCATGTGACACTCCCCTCACTCCAGATCTGAAGTGCCAGACAGTCACAGGTTTTTGGCCTTAGTGAGAAATCGATCTGAGGTCCAAACTAGATGTTTCGCCTTGGGGGAATTTTTGGGGAGAAGGGAAGGCAGAAGCCCCTCCTTCCCCCACATTGTGGTCCTGAACACAATCGGGTCACTACACACATAAGAACACAGTAGTACACACCAAGGCCCCGGTCACACGTAAAGGTTTGGCCCGGGAGAGGGACGGATTGGGGGCGCAGCAAACGGGCGCAATCTCACCGCAACATCTGGGAAGCGGTGCGCACCCGTCCCCGATCTGTCCCAACCCCCGAAAAGGCGCAACAAAAATACACCACCTACCAAGGTGGTTCTTCCAGCACGGCCGCATCAAGGCCGGCCGTGGGATCGCCGGCGCGTCCTTCTGCCGGCGCATCCCCGGCTCCTGGCTGAACTGCGCATGCTCAGACATGCGCAGTTCGGCAGTCTCCCGTTCCCCACTGTCGCTTTCCCCAGCATCTGATCGTGCCGGGGGGGGATCAATGTGATCCCGCCGCCACGTGTTTCTTTTGGTGTGGCTTTATAAAGCCGCACTTTCACCCGTTCCTTTCCCCCCGTGTGGCAGGGACCATAGGAACGTTCGTTCCCTAACCTCACATTTGACTGTGGAAAGATCAAAGGTGGACCGGGGAAATCCTGACCCAGCTCATACGACACAAAACATCTAGTTTGAGCCTCAGTTCCCAACCCAGTCCTGTTGTGCACCTCGTTATAACATTAAGAAACCTGTCCTCTGCCCACATCTTAGAAGTCACTTCCGTTCCTGATACTGAGGCGTAATCTTCGTGGGGGCAGCGGGGCTTCAGCCCCCGCCGAAATTTTCAGGAAGGTGCTCAGCCTCCCCCGGGAGCCACCCTTGCTCCTAGCACAGCAATGCCTCTGGCCCAGCCCCAGCCCCCCCCCTCCGGGAAATTGGAAAGTCTACACCCTTGAAAGCAGTGTCGGAATGGGATCCACCCCCTTCCAAAAAAAAGTGGGTTTGGCCACTGGATATCATGAGTCCAACCACCATGGATCCAATTAGGATCAGGCCCAGATGCCTCCAGACCAGCCTGATGCAGACTGTGTGTGATTCCACACTAGACCTTAAATCCTGGTTCAACCCTGTCCCCGGACTTAATTCTACACGACACTCAAGTTCACCCCTGCAATGATCTCGGGTTATGTTTTAACACATATAATTCACTGCCACAGGAGGTGGTGGCAGCTACAAGCATGGACGGCTTCAAGAGGGAATCGGATAAGCATATGGAGCAGAGGTCCATCAGTGGCTATTGGCCACAAGGTATAGATAGGAACTCTCGGTCTGGGGCAAGTGATGCTCTGTATTCTTGGTGCCTGGGGGGGGGGCGCAACAGTGGGAGGGCTTCTAGTGTCCTGGCCCCACTGCTGGACCTCCTGATGTTCTTATTTTCCACATTACATTGAGGTCACCCCAGTTTTGCCCACACTTGTCCCGGGATAAATGGATGTTGTAACAACCAGGAATAAATGCAAGGTATGGTGTCGCGAGTGGAACTCTGATACAACCGGGGATGAGATCCAAGTGTGGAAAGGACCCTTCTTGTCACACATATGCTCACCAAACCCTCTTTGGCACTGCAACCCTTTCCCAAACTTGCCTGTGGCCCATGCTCATAAATATGCATGGTAGCATCCAGATCCATCGGAGCGACATCACCCACTGCTGTCAGCAACTCTGGGTGCTGCAGCACATCCCGGCCTAATGAGGGCCTTACCTGGTCTCCCTACGTGAGCCTTCTCCGCCGCCATATGCAGGTAAGGGATGGAACAGAGGGGTGGGCCTGCACGGGGGCTCCCTGGTAAAGGTCTCATACCCACCCTGGATTATGTGGCTCAAAGTCTGGAGGACGTCCAGCCACCTAAACTGATTTCTGGTGTGGATTTGGGGCAGAGCCGGCCCATTACTATGGAGAAGCGTCCCCCAGCTCATTACAGGTTGTTGCCTGGACGGTTGCCAACTGGCTGGGGACGACAGGTTCTGTCTCTTTGGAGGTGGAAAGGGCCATCAAATTGCAGCTGATTTATGGCGATTCCAGGGCTATTTTTGGGCAGGAACGCACAGAAACGGAGTTCCGGCTGGCTCCCGAGTTGGCCACACCCAGCAGGAACTCATTAGCATAATAGGCCACACCCAACAGCAGAAACTAATTAGGATTGGCTACGTTAGGGGTGTGTGGCCTAACATGCAAAGGAGTTCCTGCTACAAAAAAAGCCCTGGGTTTTGACAACAAACGCGGTAAACAGAATAAGAAGGGAAAGGTGGGTGTGGCTGGATGACAACACTTCTGGTAACATGGGGGTGTGGCCTAGTATGCTAATGAGCTGTGTTGTCGGGGGTGGGGCCTAATATGCTAATGAGTTTCGGCTGTTGGGTGTGGTCTATTATGCTAATGGGGTGTCAAGGCCAGAGAAGACCAGAGGTGGTTTGCCCTTTCCGCAGAGCAGCCCTGGACTTCCTTGGTGGTCTCCCATCCAAGTGCTAAGGAAGTACACTCACAGGGAAATGTCGATCGCAACTTTGGGGTCGGGAAGCAGTTTTTCTCCATGCCAGTTTGGCCAGAACATAAGAACATCAGAGAAGCCAATGCTGGATCAGGCCAAAGGCCCATCCAGTCCAACACTCTGTGTCACACAGTGGCCAAAAATACCAGGTGCCATCAGGAGGTCCACCAGTGGGGCCAGGACATTAGAGGCCCTCCACTGTTGACCCCCCCCCCAAGCACCAAGAAGACAGAGCATCACTTGCCCCAGAGACCCTATCTATACCTTGTGGCTAATAGCCACTGATGGACCTCTGCTCCATATGCTTATCTAATTCCCTTTTGGAGCCGTCCATGCTTGTAGCCGCCACCACTTCCTGTGGCAGTGAATTCCAGGTATCCTGGAGAGATTTTTTGCCATCTTTTGGGCATGGAGCAGGGCTCACTGGGGTTGTGGGGCGGAGGCAGTGGTGAATTTCTTGCATTGTACAGGGGGTTGGACTAGATGACCCTGGAGGTCCCTTCCAACTCTGTGATTCTGTGATTCTAAGGCTGACCCTGCTAAGCTTCCAAGATCTGACCGTATCGGGCCATCCTGGGCCATCTGGGCCTGTGTCTTTAATAGAGGCTCAATGCGATGTTATTTACCAGGTGATGTTATTACCTGAAAAGCTTTCCTTGCCCATTTCCACAAACCAGTAAAGGTAAAGTTTTCCCTTGCTCGAAAGCCGGTCGAATCTGACTCTAGGGGGCGGTGCTCATTTCCAAGCTGAAGAGCCAGCGCTGTCCGAAGATGTTTCCGTGGTCATGTGGCTGGCATGACTAGATGCCGAGGCACACAGAACGCTGTTCCCTTCCCACCGAAGTGGTCCCTATTTATCTACTAGCAATTTCTTGCTTTCGAACTGCTAGGTTGGCAGGAGTGGGGGCCTCTATAAAAGGGACAGGACATCATTCCCCAGGCTTGTTGGCAACCCTTCTTGCCTTATCGGTGCATTCTTTTCATTCCTAGCATGCTCCTCTATCGCTTTTGAACAGTGGCTGGATATTAAGTGAGATGCATGGGGGGGGGGGAACTCACCACCGCCCCGTCTTCTCTACCATCTGAATCACTGTTGGCTTGCTTTTGTTTCATAAGAGGACTGATTCATCTTTCTTCCCTTCTTCTTCCCTTCTCACCCGTTTGCTCCTGTGTCTCCCCCCCCCCTGCACCCAGAAGTTTGAAGAGACCAGCCTTTCAGAAGGAAGCACGGTGGATTTAGCAATCCCGTCAGACCTCCTGGAACAGATGCCGGAACTGGCAGAAGAGATGATGGAGCCTGAGGACTGCTTCCCCGAACGTAAGGATGAGTCCCTCCTCTGACTTCTTTCCCCCGACCGTCAGGGGTCATTTCCTGCAGGAGCGGAGCTCCGGCAGTAAAGAGCCCAGGGGGCGGGCACTTGCAACAAGCCCCACCCCCTGTTCCCAGCAGCCAGTCAGAGCAAGAAGCAGCCAGATAAGTTGCAGAGCTCCCCCGGTGCCAAACAGTCCAGTGGCACCTTTAAGACCAAGTTTTATTCAGGTACAAGCTCTCCCTCCTCTGTGAAGACAGATCTGCACTTTCTCCCCCCGCCCCCAATAGCTAGCAATCCAAAACCGTCCAGTGGAGCCTGAGTGGTGGGTGTTGCCTTCTGACTCACTTCCGGTGATGTCAGGGGGTGTGGCACATGCAAATTAGTTATGCTAATGAGTTATGCTAATGAGCTCCTGCACCTCTTTTTCTACTAAATGACCCCTGTCGACCGTAAAATGTCAAGAGCGAGTCAGAGGCCCACCGAGTGCATCTCGGGGCTGAAACGCAGCATCAGAGGAGTCGCAGGGGCAGCTGAGTCACTTCAGACGATAAGTGAGGGTTGCGTATCAGAAAAGGGATGGGTTGATTGACAGCGATAGAATGAGTGATTCAAGGTCTTTCCCGGTGGCATATTTTCTTGACTCGCTCGGGTCAGGCGGCTGTGGTCGATGGGTCTGGCAAGCATCTTGCAATGGGAAATGGTGTTTTCACCTACTGTTAGTTTAAGGGGCATGAAGAGAAGGAGAAGAGATTGGATTTATACCCCGCCCTTCACTACCCAAAGGAGTCTCAGAGCGGCTTACAAACTCCTTTTCCTCCCCTCCCCACAACAGACACCCTGTGAAGTAGGTGGGGCTGAGAGAGCTCTGACAGAAACTGCTCTTGAGAGAACAGCTGTGACAGAAGAAGAAGAAGAGATTGGATTCATACCCCACCCTTCACTACCCAAAGGAGGCTTACAGACTTCTTCCCCTTCCCCTCCCCACAACAGACACCCTGGGAGGTAAAAGAAGAAGAGATTAGATTTATACCCCGCCCTTCACTACCCAAGGGAGTCTCAGAGCGGCTTACAAACTCCTTTCCCTTCCCCTTCCCGCAACAGACACCCTGTGAGGTGGGTGGGGCTGAGAGAGCTCTGACAGAAACTGCTCTTTTTCAAGGACAGCTCTTGTTAGAGCTATGGCTTGCCCAAGGTCATCCAGCCAGGTGCAAGTGGAGGAGTGGGGAATCAAACCGGGTTCTCCCAGATTAGAGTCCGCACATTTAACCACTACACCAAACTGGCTCTACACATGAATCCATACATATATAGAGGTATGGAGACATATTATGTGTAGAAGGAGCAGAAGTTCACTGCTTAGACCCTTGCCCTGCCTGTGCATTCTCCGTCTAATCACTAGGGATGCCAGCCTCCAGGTGGGGCCTGGGGGTCTTCTGGAATTACAGCTCATCTCCAGACCACAGAGATCAGTTCCCCTTGAGAAAATGGATGCTTTGGAGGGTGGACTCTGTGGCGCTGCACCCCAAAGATGTCCCTGCCCTTCCCAGGATCCACCCCAAATCTCCAAGAGTTTCCCGAACTGGAGCTGGCAACCCTACCAGTTTGGTGTCGTGGTTAAATGCGCGGACTCTAATCTGGGAGAACCGGGTTTGATTCCCCCCCTCCTCCACTCGCACCTGGCTGGATGACCTTGGGCAAGCCGTAGCTCTGATAAGAGCTGTCCTTGAAAAAGAGCCATTTCTGTCAAGAGCTCTCTCAGCCCTACCTCCCTCACAGGCAATGTTCCCCCTAAGCTGTGGAGTCTTATGAGCAAAAATTCTACTTTGTGAGCTACTGGCATTAAAGTTCTGAGCAAGTGATTTGGCTACTGCATACATTAGTTTGCTCTGGAGCCATCCTCCCTGAGCTAAGACAAAAATCTGTGAGCCGGAGGCTAAAAAACTGTGAGCTAGCTCACACTAACTCATCTTAGAATGAGCACTGCTCACAGGGTGTCTGTGGTGGGGAGGGGAAGGGAAAGGAGATTCTAAGCCGCTCTGAGACTCCTTCAGGTAGTGAAGGGCAGGGTATAAATCCAATCTCTTCTCTTCTTCTTCTTCTCCCCCCCACCCGCGTCTCCCGGCCAGTGATCAGGGGGACCTGGCAACCCTAACCGCTTAGGAACCAATGAACTGCCTGCACGATAGCTCAGTTTGGACAGAACACTGGTTTTGTGAGACCACGAGTTGGCTGGCAGGCGACCATGAAAACCCTCAGAACAAAGTTTGAGTCCGGTGGCACCCTCAAGGCCAACAAAGTGTAATTCTGGGTATCAGCTTTCGTGTGCACGCACACCCTATTTAAATTCTTGTTTGCCTCGACCAATACTGGTTTCATGGCCTTCACTCCTCCCCCCCCCCCCCCCACACCAAACACACACCTCCTCCAAAGAGATCTGGAAAGTATCCCAGCTTGCATTGCGGCAAGAGCACCGCTGAGTAAAGATAGTTTCGGAGGGTCGCCGTGTTGTTCTGCAGTAGAAGTCCAGCAGCACCTTGGAGACCCAACAGTATCTGGGGAGTATGAGCATTTGAGACTCAGGGCACTGATGGTGATGATGATGATGATGATGGTGATGATGATGATGATGATGAAGAAGAAGAAGAAGAAGAAGACGATGACGTGGAGGAGGTGAAGGAGGAGGAGGAGATTGGATTTATACCACGCCCTTCACTCAGAGTCTCAGAGCAGCTTACAATCTCCTTTCCCTTCCCCTCCCCGCAACAGATGCCCTGTGAGGTAAGTGGGGCTGAGAGAGCTCTTTCGAGAACTGCCCTTGAGAGAACAGCTCTGAAAGAACTTGTCGCTGACCCAAGGTCACACCAGCAGCTGCACGTGGAGGAGTGGGGAATCAAACCTGGTTCTCCCAGATTAGAGTCCGCGCTCCTAACCACTACACCAAACTGGCTCTGAAGGGAGCTCTGACTCTCAAGAGCTTATACCTTGAAGATCTTGTTGATCCCTGTGGTGCTACTGGACTAGAACATAGCTTTTCTACTGAGTACAGATGTTGTATGGCAGTGTGTGTAGTGTAGCCAGGATATCCGAAGATTGTCTGGCAGCCAGAAGTTCTAGCCCTTTTAGAGTTAAGCACCACTAGGTGGCGAGCTAGACTTGTTTTTGAGGCAAGAGATGTCTCAGAGGTGGTTTGCCATTGCCTAGCTATGCATCACGACCCTGGTATTCCTTGGACACCCCTGGTATTCCTTGGAGGTCACCCTTTCAAATACTTGCCAGGGCCGACTCTGCTATGAAGCCCAGATATCCAAGATTGCGCTTCACACAAAACCACAGCAAGACTAACAGTACAATTCGAAGCAGAGTTACCCCCTTCGAAGTCCACTGAAGTCTTAGAGTAACTACGATCTAAGGAACTCTGGGCTCAGAGGAACTCCACTTAGGATTACCGTGTCACCGTAGTTAATAGGACATTGCCGGAGCGTCTGTTTGCTCAGAAAAAAATTTGCATTTGTCTTCTAACTTTTAATTCCGCCAGACTCTCCAGTTGTGACCGCGAATAGATGTCGGACACAAACCCATCACGGGTCTCCGTCCCTCTGTAAAAAAAGCAAATTCTGCAAATGTGTCCAGCTTCAATTTAAATTCTGGCTCCCAGGGAAGTGATTTAACCCTTTAACCCTCGCATGGTTTTGCTAATCGAAACCGTGCTCAGTGGGCTGTTATTAGCATTTCCAAGGGGGGAAAGATGGCTTTTTTAAAACAATCTCTTTTTTCCTTTGCCTTTTGCCTTTGACAGATGTCCTGAAATCAGTATATGGCCGATTCCGCACTAGAGCTACCTCGATGTGGCACCGCCGTTTGCCCAGATACTCTTGGTCAATTTCACACCCAAAGCTGCGGGGCTGCATTTGACCCGCGGCTTCGCCCGATTTCCTCCGCAGTTTCCTGATCCTCAAAAAACAGCGCCAGACTCTCCAGTTGTGACCGCGAATAGATGTCGGACACAAACCCATCACGGGTCTCCGTCCCTCTGTAAAAAAAGCAAATTCTGCAAATGTGTCCAGCTTCAATTTAAATTCTGGCTCCCAGGGAAGTGATTTAACCCTTTAACCCTCGCATGGTTTTGCTAATCGAAACCGTGCTCAGTGGGCTGTTATTAGCATTTCCAAGGGGGGAAAGATGGTTTTTTTTAAAAAAATCTCTTTTTTCCTTTGCCTTTTGCCTTTGACAGATGTGCTGAAATCAGTATATGGCTGATTCCGCACTAGAGCTGCCGCGATGTGGCGCCGCCGTTTGCCCCGATACTCTTGGTCAATTTCACACCCGAAGCCGCGGGGCTGCATTTTGACCTGCGGCTTCGCCCGATTTCCTCCGCAGTTTCCTGATCCTCAAAAAACAGGATCACGAAACTGCAGGGGAAATCGGGCGAAGCTGCGAGTCAAAATAATGTATCATATTCTGCCTCCCCAAATAACGTGTACCACCTCTGACCTTGAATCCAGATGTCAATTCGTGCATGTCTCATCCCCAGCTCTGCAGCCTGAATCACGTGAAACAACATGGGAAACATGAATAGCAGTGACCCAGCATATAAAATAAGTTCACCTAGCAGAGGAGGGACTCAATGCAGAACTGTTTTCTTTTGGCAACAGCCCTTGGGTGGGCAGGAATGGAATTGTGCTAGTTTCTGTTCTGCCCTTGAGAGCCAGTTTGGTGTCGTGGTTAGGAGCGTGGACTCTAATCTGGGAGAACCAGGTTTGATTCCCTCACTCCTCCACATGCAGCTGCTGGTGTGACCTGGGGTCAATGACAAGTTCTTTCAGAGCTGTTCTCTCAAGAGCAGTCCTTGAAGTACTCTCTCAGGCCCACCTCCCTCACAGGGTGTCTGTTGTGGGGAGGGGAAGGGAAAGGAGATTGTAAGCCACTCTGAGACACCTTTGAGTAGTGAAGGGCAGGATATAAATCCAATCTCCTCCTCCTCCTCCTCTTCCTCTTCTTCTTCACT